ATGGTGTGCAACCCTAATTAGAGAGTGTGTCCAGGATGAGGCTTGCCGGCGCTGCTCTTCTGAAGCAACCAATCCTCTAGGCTCTTGGAAGAATAAACCCCGTTTCTCGTTTTTTCCAGCAGATGGCGCTGGACACCGTGCTCTGCAGAGCGATCCACAGGTGATTTTTGAGGGACTCCATCAACCGCCTAACAGGAGCGTTTCCCCGCCAGGCGGCCCCACCGCCAACCCTCTGATACGCTCTGCTCCATTCTGCAATCTGACAGACATAATTCATCCACCACAAGCCCGTGAATGGGTCATTAAATATATAACTGTTTCCAAATAATGTATTCATTCAGTGCCTCCTATGGGCCAGGTACAGTTCTCAGACCCGCGGATATGATGGCTAGCAGAACAGAGGACTGAGTGAGGTCCCTGACCATACAGAACTTTCTAATTAAGCAGTTGGACCGCGCAGAGACACAGATAACTCCGTCATGTAGTGCCTGCCATCAAATAGGTTCTCAGAAGGAAAATGAGCAGACTCTCGATGGGCTGGTCCGAGAAAGCAACAGGTAAGCAGAGGCCCGAACGATTCTGAACAGGTGACTCCCACTCAGGGGCCCCTTGGAATCACTGGGGAGCTTTAACCTTGGTGCCGGGGCCCACCCAGGGGCGGGCTTACTTAACTGCTGGGGGTGAGGACCCGGCACTGGGGGGTTTTACGCTCCCAGGTGACAACCACAGTTGAGCTGCATTAGCTCTAAATATCTAACGGGGAAAGCACACACCTTGGCGGGAACTCTCATGCGCTGAATGAAAAGTGCCCCTGCTACTCAGAAGAGCAGAAAGGTGTCAAGGACTCTTTTTGCTGCTTCCTGACCTTTGGCTGCAGCCTGGGGGCCCTGGGCCCCCCCACAGCCCAGCCCTGCTCCGGGGGCCCAAGCTGAAATCGGGTCTCAAACTGGGCAGCAAAGTCACTCAGCCAGAAAAAGCCCCACATTGACAGAGAAGTGAGATGAATCATCTCACTTCTCTGAAGAGCTGGGGGAACCTGGCCACTGCCCGCTGCCACCCCCGTGTGGCCTGCGTGGGGGCAGAGGGCCATCGCATCAGCTCTCCACCCTAGCAAAGAGAGCTCTCTCTTTGCTCCCCCGTGGCAACTCCGAGCTGCTTCTCCCACATTCCCCGCCTCTTCGGCCCTTGTACCTGAACTCCCCGCCCCTCCCCCCTCCTGCTCCAGAACTTATTAGGAATCTTGAAAGGAAAGAGGATCTTAGATTGTGGAACTGACAAGTGGGCACAGCTGTGCTCTTGGAGCCTGACAGATTCTAGCCGCTGACCCCAGAGTCTGTCTTCCTTGGGACACATGGGACTCATCTCCACCACTGCCCAGCAGAGAGGCGAGGACAGATGCTGCTGGGCTGCCCCTGTGAGCATTTCCTGATTCTCCTTCAGACGAGCTGCAGATTGTCACCCCCTCTCCGGGAGGCTGACCGGGAGCAGCTCGCCACCCGCACCTTCCTCAGGCTTCTCCTGCTCCCGGAGCTGCTCTCTGCTCTCAGACACTGAAGTGGCAGAGGAGGCTGCCGGGAGGGTTCAGGCCGAGGACAGGCGTGCTGAGAGAACCCTCTGTGGTGAGACCGCATGGTATCTGTCCTGGCGCCCAAGCCACAGTTCTCTCTCGCTCTCTGTAATCATGGAAAATCTGAAACACACACAATAGTAGAAAAAAGAGTAGAGCAAAACCCTATGGGTCCCAACATCAAGTTTCAACAGGTTACTGATCTTAATGTCATCTCTTGTCAGAACTCTGGGAGGCCCGGATGGGTCATTAAAGTGTGTTTGACACAATATGTCCTTTTACCCCAAAATATGTCAGAGGGACATCTTTAACTGATAGGACTTTTAAAAAAAATCATTACCATGCCGTTATCATTTAATACCATATTAGTTCATATTCATATCTCCCATTGTCTCAAAGATCAGTCATCTTAAACTGAGATCAAGTCGTCACTTGATACAGGCAAATATTGATTTTCCATTTAACCCACTTTAATTTCCCAGCCCCTCTTGTTGGGCTAGGGGCAAGCAGTTAGGTGGGAACAATTCCCTTGGACACTGACCTGGGAGATGCAGTGAAAGGCGCTTGGGAACTGGGCACTTGAATCCTGGATCAGCTCCTTCATGACTTAGCGGATGATCTGGGTGAACCTTCCCTTCCCAGTCCCTCTTAGGGGAAGACAAGCCGACTTGCTATGAGCCTTGCAACGCACAGAGACTGGTCTACTCCATGATCTATGAAGGGTGCCCCAAACCAGGAGCACCCTTCATAAAAACCTACTCGGTTATCATCATCAATCGAACAGTAGCGGCGTGGGCGGTCCTTCCTCATACGGGGTCACCGCGAACATGAGATACCGCTGCGCCCCCTTGAATTAGGGAAGGCTCTGGGACTGCTTCATCTGGGCCCAGGCAGCTTTCATTTCCTATCTCAGAACCTCGGCTCTGGGGGCCCTGACACTCTACATAAGAAGTACAACTGCCTTGCTGGAGACACCTAAAGATTGCTGGGAGAAAAATAAAGGCCTAGCTGAACATGACCTCCCGGCCGATCCTACAGAGGCACCAGGTGCTGGAGCGAGCCGACCCTCCGGACTGACTCAGTGCACACACCAGGGGCCAAAGCAGCAGCCCGCCGCTTCCTCCCCAGGTGCCTGGTGCGCAGAACTGCGAGAGAGCAGAAGTGGCTGTGGTGCTAAACCTCTAGGCCTTGGGGTAGCCAGTTCTGCAGCAGTGGAAAACTGGAACAGAGTTGGCTGCCTGGCACACTGCCGTGGGCTCATCACTTTCTCCAGGCTCCGAGGCGGGGACCCGGCCGCATCCATCCGCAAGTCCCAGCCCACAGTATCACCAGGTGTGTGGTTTTGGACCTCCCCTCTCTCTACACGGTGATAAACTGCTGGGTTGGCTCATCTCGGTAGGGCGGATCATGGAAATGGGAGCCATAGAGCTGTTTAAGGCGACGAGAGGAATAAGAGCTTTGTGATCTGACCAAGTCCGTTGCAATGTACTTAGTAGTGGTAGTTATAGTAACGGTGTTACGGGAGAAATTAAGTGGAGGAGCCACTCTCTGCTAGGTTTAATATTATCTCCCAACGTGGGTGTGGATGACAGATTTAAAGTGTTTTATTTTGCATCATAAATCATTTTCGAGCATCTAAGGGGGAAAAAAGGACAAAGGAAAAGGAAAACAAATCATGTTTTTTTCCTCCCCAGAGTCACTCGCTGGTGTATTATGTAATTGTGGGTTATGTAATTCGTGGACACAAGTACTCTCTTCCTGTCCTGAGCTGACCCTCCTCTCTCTTGCCTGCTCTGGTCCCTGTGTGGTTTTGCGTGCGCCCTTCCCTGGCCGTGGAAGAGAAATGTATTTTGGAGGCTTCCCTTGAGTCTGTGACCACGTATTAAAATCAGTTGCCTTCGGAAAGTTCGGTGGGGCCTCGTACAAACAGCGATTAAAGAGCCGGCGTGGGGTAGGGCTGCCTCTCCAGGGGAGAGGTTTCACGCAGTCGAGGGGTGAACTTGAGCCCAGAAAACAGCCAGCAGTGCTACTAAACTGCCGTTGAAGGCATTTCTCGTTGACTCTGTCCCCAGTGAGGTCTGTCTGTAAAGGATTAGAAGCTGGAATTCGAGGGCAATCGGGGCCCAGCCCAGCCCAGCCCCTGGGACCCACAGCCGAAGCTGTGGGAGGCTGTTCTCCAGCGACTGAGACAGAATCCGAACGTGCCCGTGTTTTGTTTTGTTCTTGAAGAGTAAGACTTCTGGGCCAAATGTCCAGTTTTGAGTTTTAAAAACCAGTTTGGAATTCTCCGCGTGTCTTCCCACCATCTGAAAGGCTTTGCGCCTTGTTACCTGGCCCACCTTGACTGAAAACAGAGAAAACGTGTGGGTGTGGAAATGACGCGAGTCAGGCCTCCCCCCGGCTCAGCTTCCCGTGGCACCGCAGGCAGTGTCAGCATCAGGGGGGGGGGGGGGAGGGGAGGGGAGGGGAGGGAGCAGTGCAGCGGGGGCATCAGCCTCTCTGACTACAGACGCCACCTGCTCCGAGGTGGGAGTCACTGCAAACACGAGGAGCACGGCTCTTCCAGGGCCACGGGCCATCTCCCCAAGACCAGACCCCTTGCTTGTGAAGGGAACCACCCGCGCCTGGGCCAGATGTGGCAGGCCGAGCCTGAGCCCCATCTGTCCCCTGGCCTGGAGAAAAGGGGAGACCAAATTCACTGACCCCCAGTGGTGACACCCCTGAAATCCACAAGCTGCAGACCACGGGCAGCCACAGGGAGGCACCGCAGAGGAAGACACAGGTGTCACCCTACAAAGCAGCACTGAGCTAGTGCGGGCAGGGGCAGTGGGCCCAACAGAAGCCTGGGAAGGCAGGACAGTGCAGGGGTCAGAAGGGAGGGGTTAGGACAGGCCCTTTTGGTTTGGCCATTTGCGTGTGCCTTTGGCATGTCCTCTGACCTCTCACCTCTCGTTGGGAGATACCTGGCCCACCGGGTGGTTTTAGGGTTCCAGGTGATAGATAGCACAGGGAGAGAGGGCAGGGAAGGAGCTGCTGTGTATAAGAACCCAGTGGGTGGAAGGGGCTCATGACAAGTCATCCCAGCTTGGGGGTGAGAAGGGGGTTCTGTATAAACCTTAGGGATCACTCTGGGATCCAAAGAGGGGTCCGTGGGAGGTCCCGAGTTTCTGCAGCGGCACCAGCCTCCTCGGCTGCGCAACAAGGCAGGCAACGCCTGGGGCGCCGGGTCTGGGTTGCGCTGACACGGGTCCAGACTGCGGGTACCCTCAGTCCTTTGCAAGTGCTGAATAAATCCAGCAATCCTGAATTCCAGGTTGTACTGCTCCCCCAACTGTCACATTTGTCTGGCAAGATCCCAGCCACTAACACCTATCCCATCTTTCCAAAGCCGGACTTGAAATGACTATTTAGAAAGAGAATTAAGTGGCAGGGCTTTATTTCCCATTTCTTTTTGCAGCTGTTTTTCCAAGTCACCAGTTCCCCAAATAAACTTGCTTTTGCTTTGAACCAAACTTTCTCTTGACACACAGAGGATGCACACACAGCGACCTTCTAGATTTGTGGAATCCTTTGGCTGTGTTATTTATTGGCTCACAGGGGCAGCGTAGAGCTATTAGATGTCAAGAAGCCCAAAAAGGAAAGCGCTAAAGGAAATGTATTTCTGTGTTTTAGCATGATACCTCGGAAACTGTCCTCTGTGAACCATGCATCACGTCACGTGTGTTTTTGACTTCAGGAGCTTCATGGGATCTCAGAACAAGTTGTGAATCCTGTGTGTCGGCCTGAGACTTCGCAGAGGCCTCGTAGGGTAAACAAGCGAGCAACTTGGCCTCGCTTCTGCTGTTTTTACAAAGTCCAGCTTATTCAAGAAGACAGAGGGCAAAGCGTAAAACTTAGCTTTGCAATAACGCATTTTTCCAGATGCTCTGTGTCTGCCGCTCACTTGCGAGATGATATGGTGGCCTTGTGAGGTGGCAGAAGTTGGGGCGATGCCAGCACTGACACGTGTGGGGGGGCACAGAGCAGTCTCGGGCCAGGGGGACAGAGTGCCGCAGGCACGGCAAGGCCCCCTCACTCGGGCCTGACCGACCTCCTGACCCCCGGTTCCATGAATGGGGTGCAGGGCTGTTTTATGCCATTCAGTTTAGGGGGTAATTGTTATCCGGCCATCATGTTGGGACATACCCACCCAATGACATCTGAATGAAGACAGACATCTAACCGAGAAAATCACATGTTCACTTTGTGAAAACATACCAGTTGCCCTCCGCTCTCATGCTATAAATGGTCTAAGAGCCCAGGTGAGCGTCCTGCCCCAGCTCACCTCCCCACGCCTTCTCCTGGGTTCCCTCTCTCCACACCCCCAAAGTCAGAGGTATTCCAGCTGAGGTTTTCCAGGGACCCCATGGGGGCCCCACCCTTTCTCCTTCCTCTTCCAAGGTCTCATCAGTAGGAAAAATGGTGGAAACCTGTAGGAATAGGGTTATGAAGGTTAGCATACCTGGGGTGGAGGCTCACCGTCTTTGGACACATACTCCCAGCTGTGTACACTGGCTATCAAGTGTACACGTCTTTAACCAACATCTTTAACCCAGCAAAAAGTAGTTCATGTGTAAAATGTTTAAAATCCATATCATGCAGAGAGTGGTCAATAAACATTCTCCTACCCCCTCTTCCCATGCCCAGGACTAAGCACTGTTAACACCCTGGAACCAGACTGCCTGGGGCAGAATCCCAGCTCTGCAGGGGACTGGCTATGGGACCCTGCCCCCAGGTCCCCCATCTGTGGAATGGGGACAACTTTCCTCATAAGAGTTACATGGGTTAATATACCAAAAGCACTTAGAACAGAGTCTGACACAAAGTCTCAATGTCAAGGAGCTGTTACACCTCCACCACCGTCATCACCTAGGGTGTTTTCTGTAGCCTTCATGGGCTCAGGGATGGCAGTGTTGGAGGGGACCTAGAATTAGGGAGGAGTGGGCACATCTGGGCACAGTGGCCACTTGGAAGGTAACGAACACCTGCAACTCCACCCTCATGGCAGACCCTTCGGGGGTCTGTGCTTCTCTGGGAGGTGCAAATCTTATTTCAAAGGGTGTTATAGGGTAAGAGGGCCAGAAATGGCTAAAACGTTGATATGAGAAAGTAAGCAAAACTGACACAATTCTGACCAAAAAACCCAACTATAAAAAAACAAGCAAGAATGATTAAAATCAGCTTGAGTGGAAAGGAAAATTGATCATTTCACCTAAGCAGAAGCAGAGGGATGCAGTCAGGGTGGTCGGCTGAGACTCACAACGGCATCAAGACTCAGAGCTTTTTCATGAGGAAAACTTTTCTAGAGTGCACCCCTTCCTTCAGATATTTTAAAGGGTTTTATTTATTTATCTTTACAGGGGAAGGGAAGGAGAGAGGGAGAGAAACCTCAATCTATGGTTGCCTCTCCTGCATCCCCTGCTGGGGACCTGGCCTGCAACCCAGGCATGTGCCCTACTGGGAATCAAACCACAGTTGTTTGGTTCGCAGGCTCACGTTCAATCCACTGAGCTACGCCAGCCAGAGCTCCCCTCAGATTTTACCTTCCATCTCTTTGGCCGGTTACGCCACAGGACCATGCCTCGACCAGTCCCTGGCAGGAGGAGTGAAATTACCATGATGGTCTTAGACTACTCAGCACTCACCTGAAGACTCGTCCAAACGAGCAGGCCTGGGAGAACAGGGAAGAAAGGGAGCTGCAGCCAAGTCCTTGCTGACCTTCCTTTCTTATTCCAGAAAGCTCCCTTCAGTGGGACATGCGACTTAGCCATACCATGATCAAAGGATTAAGTGATGAGGATGAAGCAAAAAAAACACAAAAACCCCAGAAAACCAAGGCTGCATAAAATGAAGCCTGAAATACAATTAACACAGAAAACGCAGGGCGCCCCTGGGCTTGCCGAGGGTGGGCCATGGCCAGGGGTCTGGCAGCCGATGGAAGCAGGTCCAGCAGAAGGTGCAGACGGTGGCTTGTGGCTGGATGTGCCCCACGGATGTGCTCGGTCTGGGCCTTCCCAGCGTCTTGTTTGCGACTCTTTTTCTATTGGTTTATTTACACTTATTTGTTTATTTTTCAGTTGTTTGGTTGCCAACCTTAAAAATTGGGATATTTCATTTCGTTTGGAAGTATTCCCAGGTTACCTTTACTTTAAAAAATCAGCCTGCCTTCCGCCGCGGCCATCAGCCGGGCGGACGTAGGCATGGAGCCCACACAGCCCCCCACGTGGCTGCCCTGCCCACGCCCCGCGTCCGTCACCTGCATCGCCCACGGGCCCTTCAGTGTGTGCCCTGGGACTGGTTTACGGAGTCCCTGCAACAGAAGCCGACCACTTCCTCAGGAGAACACGGGGTCCCAACCGTAAGACAAGAAGACCTCAGAAGATGGTCACTTCAGGGTATAACGAACACCTCACCTTATCCTCACTGTAGACGCCTTCAAGGCTCTCACAGGATGGCTCCTTATTAAGGTTTTCTACCCCAAACCGGGGGACAGACAGAGGGAGCGGGCCTGCAGGCAGAGGGGGACAGGTACATGGAAGTCTCCCACCGCTCAGGGATAACCTTTCAAGAGAAAGTCTCCAAAGCTGCTTCTCACTTGGAGAAGGCTGCATGTTGCACAGAAGAAGAATGTGTCCCAACAGCTGAGATTAAAGAGAGTAGGAGAGGGATTGGAATGAAGGACTAGATCTGGAGAATGGTTCTCAGGCTGAGAACAACTTCACGGCCTGTCCCTGGTCTGAAGCGCCGATATTCCCCTCCACCGAGAATCGGGTCTTGATGGAAAGAGCTGCCTTCTGCCTCTGAGTGAGCCTTTCATGGCAGCCATGCGTCTTCCGGTCCAGACTGGAATGTCCACTGGCTGGAGGGATTAAGAAATCCATATGAGAAATTTTGTCACATTCCTTTAAATGTGAAACTCTTCCTCCAGAATCAGGTGAAGAGGCCTCTGAGCAGATGCGCACGCAGATGGGGCCTCTCTGCTTTCCTGCTCCTCGCCGCCCCCACTCCGCAGGCTCTCCGGAAAGGGTAGATAATGAAAAGTGACTCAGGAAGCCAAGAATGTGAATTATGTGACACGCAGCCCGGATCCAGCCCATGTACGGTTATTGTTCTACCCACCCCAGCAAGCCTGGAAATGAGAGGCCAGCTTGCTTTTAAAAAATGTGTTTTTGCAACACATTTGTGTTCATGAAATAACATCCACTCAGTTTGGTCGGTTCAGACAAAACAGCCCAGAGAGAGGGAGGGAGGAAAGAGAGAGGGAAGGAGGAAGGAGAGAGAGAGGGACAGACAGACAGAGACAAATGGACAGAGAGAGATTAGACGAAAGCAGCAAACTTGTTTTGGGCTCCCTGCAACACACACACCAGCGCACATACTACATGCCTGCTTACCCGCAGACGTCACCTACCTGGTCTTCATCAGAACGATGAAAGGCCTTCGGCACAACCGGAGCAGGAAACCAATTTCCCAAGTTGTTAGCTAAAGCTATTGGAAATGCATTATCACATGATATGCTTCACTGAGCTCTTTAACTGGAAAGAAGTGAGCACAGGAGCCATTCCTGTGGTATGGCAAGGGGGGACAGCTCTGCCACATAGACCTTGAGGGGAGGGAGGGCCTTGGGACTTGCTGCTGGGAACCAGCTATTCGGGGACAGAAAAGAGCAGAGCCGCTCTTTCATACGGCCAGACTCGTTCTGGTAAGATTTTGCCAGAGTGGAGATGGTTGGAAAAAGGATACGATGTAGCTGGAAGGACACAGCCTGGCCTTGAAACTTGGCCCTGTGTGATCTTGGACCACCTGTTTAACCACTCTTTGCCTCAGTTTTCCTATCTGTGAAGTGGGTGTGATAATGGCCCCTTAGCGGAATAACAAAGGATTGCTATGAAGGCAAGATGAAATTAGATGAGTAAATCTGGATCCAGTGCTGGGCGCAAAGCACTCAGATAATTTTTATTATTTCTATTCCTTGCCCAGCAACTCAGCCCTGAAGTGGACTTGCAATGCCCAAAAATATGACTAAAATTAATATGCACACACTTGGCTGCTTAGTCATCAGGCTGAGAAGCAATGAACATGTAAAATACAAAGCTTATCCCTGGTTATAGCCAGTAAAAACAAGAAGTCAAGTGAGAGAATATCCCTGACATATCTCAGTAAACTATAGAACACTACACGAATCTCAGAATCCACTGAAGTGATTTCAAAGAGGCCTGGTATTTTCCAACAGAGGGGGAAAATCAAGTCAGAAAGTATTTATTACATTCCTACTAGGTCCCTATAACTATAGATAAAAAAGATATAAGAATAAGTGTATAATCAGTACCTTTTACATATCAAGTACTTTATTTTATTCAATTCTTCAAGCTAGATATCTCCATTTAAAACATGAGGAAATTAAGACCCAGGTTAACCAACTCGGCCAAGGTCACACGATCAATAAATGACTGAGCTAGGACTGGAACTTGTGCTGTCCAATGACAGTGGTGAAGATGACAGTGTTTAATTTGGCTGCTTTCCAGGTGCCAGGCAATGTGCTGACCCCGCCCTCCACTGCTTCATCTACTCTTTTTTTTTTTAATTTTTTTTATTGATTATGCTGTTACAGTTGTTCTATTCCCCCTTTATTCCCCTCCACCCTACCCCCATCCCCACCATCACCCCCCCTTTAGTTTATGACCATGTGTCTCAAGTCCTTTAGATTCTATATTTCCTATGCTATTCTTGCCCCCCCCATCTATTTTCTATCTACTGTCTATGCTACTTATTTTCTGTACCTTCTCCCCCCTTCTCCTCCTCCCACTCCCCTGTTGCTAACCCTCCTTGAGATCTTCATATCTATGTTTCCACTCCTGATCTAGCTGTCCTTTTAGTTTGCTTTCGTTTTAGGTGTGGTTGTTAATAACTGAGTTTGTTGTCCTTTCACTGTTCATGTTTCTTTAACTTCTTTTTCTTAGATAAGTCCCTTTAACGTTTCATATAATAAGGGCTTGGTGATGATGAACTCCTTGAATTTGATCTTATCTGAGAAGCACCTTATCTGTCCTTCCATTTTAAATGAAAGTTTTGCTGGATAGAGCAATCTTGGATGTAGGTCTTTAGATTTCATGACTTGGAATACCTCTTTCCAGCCCCTTCTTGCCTGTAAGGTCTCTTTTGAGAAATCCGCTGACAGTCTGATGGGGACTCCTTTGTAGGTGACTGTCCCCTTAGCTCTTGCTGCTTCTAGGATTCTCTCCTTCATTTTAATCTTGGCTAATGTAATTACGATGTGCCTTGGTGTGTTCCTTCTTGGGTCCAACTTCTTTGGGACTCTCTGAGCTTCCTGGACTTCCTGAAAGTCTATTTCCTTTGCCAGATTGGGGAAATTCTCCTTTATTATTTGTTCAAATAAGTTTTCCACTGGTGGCTGTGCCTTTCCCCCCTTCTGGTACCCCTATAATTCGGATGTTGGAGCGTTTAAAGATGTCCTGGAGGTTCCTAAGACTCTCCTCATTTCTTTGAATTCTTGCTTCTTGACTCTTTTCTGTTTGGCCATTATTTGCTTTCTTCTGGTCCACTCCATTGATTTGAGTCCCAGTTTCCTTTTCATTGCTATTGGTGTCCTGTGCAATTCCATTCATTTCAATTAGTTTCGCCTTCATATATTTGTCTAATTTGTCCGTATAATCAACCAGTTCTGTGAGGATCCTGATCACCAATTTTTTAAACTGTGCGTCTGTGAGTTTTGCTATTTCTTCATCGCTTAGATTTATTTCTGGGGCTCTGAGATCCTCCTGCGCCATTCTTGGTCTGTTTGGGCCCTTTAAGTGTGAGAAGCGGTGGCTTGGATTCCCAGGTCGCTGGGTTGTGATGCTGTATGTGGGGGCGTGGCCAGAGCAGGGAAATGGCGACCCCCTCTGCCGCTTCTCACAGCTGGGCGCGGAGGAGCAGTGCCTTAGGTGGTTCACCTGGGCCGGGCCACTCAGAGTCGCTGGGTTATGACGCTGTATGTGGAGGTGGGGTCAGAGCAAGGAAATGGCGGCGCCCTCCACTGCCGCTTGCCGTGGGGACCTGCCGGCCCGGTCCAACCGCCCACTCCCTCGCCTGTCCACCCTCACACAAATGCGTGACCTCAGTCAACACGCAGCCCCGGGCCCGGCTGTGTCCCCCGAGGTCGCTCGCCTGGTTGCTCGCTGGGTCGCTCACCAGGTCCGACCCTGCGCCTGGATTCTGTGGGCCTGAGTGTGTCTGGCCGAGTTTTCCTGCGCAACCCTGCTCCGCCAGCCGCTGGTTTCGCCCCTTACCGGTCAGGCTGAAGAATTTGTTGTTAACGGGCTTCCGAAAAGTTCAATTTTCCGTGTTCTGGCTGTGTTTTCTGTTGCTAATATTTAGTTTTCTCTAATCTTGGTTGTGGGAGAAGGCACGGCACATCCACCTATGCCTCCATCTTGGCGGAAGTCCTCATCTACTCTTCACACACTGCTGTGGGGCAGGTACCATCGCTGTGCCCATTTTGCAGATGGAGGTCAGGAGGCCTGGTACCCGCTCACCTGCTGACCTGTCCTGGAGTGTGAGTGCCAAGCTCTGCACCTGTCCCTAAGAGCAGGGGTCCTGGGGGTGGAAAGCACCCCCGCTCTGTTCTAGATCTCATTGTGTCTCCCAAAGAGTTGTTGAAGATCACGCACACTTTTGGGTTGGCTATTCCTCCTTCCCTGTCTCACGGTCCTCACTCATTCCTGCCTCCTTGGATCTCCTCCCAAATAAACTATCTGCATCCAAATCCTTATCTCAGGCTCTGCTTCTCAGGGATCCCAAATTAAGACAAATAGCTGGAGCAAGGATGCAAAAGTAAGTCTGGCAGGAGAGCGTGGAAGATACCAGAGGCCAGTTTGTTTGACTGGCATGTGAAAGTGCCCAGCAGGTGGCTGAGAGTCTGGAGTGGTTGCCAGTGGCCAGACCACAGAGGCCACCATGTGCCAGGTGAGGAGCTTGGCTCCATCCTGTAGGTAAAGGGAGCCACTGAGAAGCTGACGGAGTCACAGGGGAGCCATGAAGGGAAGGGACCTGCTCAGAGTTGCTTCTGAAAAGACACCATGCTTGCTGTTTGTGAGGGGGGTGTGGGAGAGGCAAGGCTGGGACACCAGGATGCATTAGGAGGCCATGGCGGTGACCCAGAGAGTGTAAGAACAAGCTGACCAAGCAAGGGAGCTGTGGAGACGGCTCTCAGGATGGAGTCGAGGAAAACGTTAGAGGTCAAGTTCACCGAGGAGGGCTAATTCATCTGTTTTTCCATCACCCAATTTTTGCCCCCAAATTCTTATATGCTGAGAAATTCCTTGGAAAACTGGGACAGTTGGGGTCTCAGTCCACTGGGGCCACTGTAACCAACACCACAGCCTGGGTGGCTTACACAAAACAGACATGTGTTTCTCGCAGTTCTGGACATGGGGGTCTGAGACCAGTGCGGATGGGTGAGGGCCTCCTTCCATGTCGCAAATTCCTTGTCGTGCTGCCTCCTGAAGGCCCCACCCCCACCCCCCATAGCCACGCAGGCTAGGACTTTGATATATGGATATTGGAGGACACAAACATGCAGACTGTAGCAGTTGGTCACCTGAAATTCGGCAGACCTGAAGGGGGTTCAGGAAGAAGGAGGGAACGAGAATAAAGTGCCAACTTCATTGTGGGGCTGCCATGCCTGGGGAGAAAGAGGGTAAGAGAAGCTGGGTTTGAAGGTGGTGCAGTTGGTTTGGGACAGATGGCACTGGAAGCGTATTTGGGACTTAAAGTCGACATGAGTGGCAGCATTTGGGACTTACTGGGGCAGGGGTGGAGTTGGGGGAACTGTGGGACTAGTAGGTAGCACCTTGAGAAAGCCACAGTTCAATCTGCTGTGACCAGGAATCCCTCTTGATGAGCAATTTATTTTCCTTTTATCAAAACCGCAATTTCTCTAGGGCACTAATTTTAAAATTGTAACCATCGCCTGAAGTAGTTCTGAGGGTCACTCTGGCATGCAGTAGCAGTGTCCCATGAGTGTTTAGGATATGTGCATCCATGCAGCTGTTTACACCCTAGGAGGGGACAGGCATCTGACACTGGGAAGGTTTGATGGCAACTCCCAGCAAAGTTGCAAATACGGGTCTCCCTCCCAGTGTGTGGAGGGGTTGTAGCCATCGCCAGAGTGGGATGGAGCCCACACCTGGGAGGAGGATGGAAGAGTGGCTGGAAAGAGCGGGGAGGGCTGGGGGAAAATGAGTGGGAAGTCTTGGGCACTTAGCTTGGCAGACACATCATGGACCCCAACACTCGAGTCCTTTGGTGAAGTGCCCAAGATAGACTCGGTGGCTCTAGAGAAACCCCAGTCCACACTGTTGCATTTTCAACTGCTCACGTTTTGTACCAACTCTGACATTCCCTGTAAACCAGCCGGGGTAATAGAAACGCCATTGTTCACACAGCTGATCGCTTTCCACTTCACCATCTTCCAAATGCTCTACA